ATTGTGGTTTATATACACAATGGAATACTACGTGGCAATGAGAAAAAATGAAATATGGCCTTTTGTAGCAACGTGGATGGAACTGGAGAGTGTGATGCTAAGTGAAATAAGCCATACAGAGAAAGACAGATACCATATGGTTTCACTCTTATGTGGATCCTGAGAAACTTAACAGGAACCCATGGGGGAGGGGAAGGAAAAAAAAAAAAAAAGAGGTTAGAGTGGGAGAGAGCCAAAGCATAAGAGACTGTTGAGAACTGAGAGCAAACTGAGGGTTGATGGGGGGTGGGAGGGAGGAGAGGGTGGGTGATGGGTATTGAGGAGGGCACCTTTTGGGATGAGCACTGGGTGTTGTATGGAAACCAATTTGACAATAAATCCCATATAGAAATAAATAAATAAATAAATAAATAAATAAATAAATAAATAAATAAAATTGTATTTCAAAACTGTCAAAAAAAAAAAAAGAAAATGATAAGGAAGGAGAATGGAGTTATATCTTAGATGAGATTTTTGAGAGGGTTTAGATAGAGGGGAAGAACAGGATTTGAGAAATTTGGTTACACCCAAGACAGGAAAAGGTAGTATTCTGAAAGAAGAAAAAAAGAGTTAAAAAGTGAATTATATTAATGAAGCAATGGAAGTGGGAGAGTGAACAGATTAGACAGCTGGAAAGGCAGGAGGTTAACTGGAAGGTGAGGAGGACCTTGAAATGTCACAGGGGGACAGGAAAGCCAGGGCCAGGAAAGTCAGGAGAGAAGGGGGCTGGATGGGACACCAATCTGAACCCTGCAGAAGGACAGGGAAGAGCATGATACGGAAAGCCTGTGTTCACCAGGAATTCCACGCGGGAGGTAGGCACACCTGGAACAAAAACTTAGCTGGAGGATGGAGAGAAGATGAGGGAAAGGTCTGGGGAAGGAAGCTTACAAATCCTGTGTGCCGTTCCTCAGTTACTGAATGCTCAAGTTGTAAGTCTGGAAGGTATGTTATACATTAGAGTATTCATGTGAGATGGTAAAGATGAGAACTACTGTGCTGGCAAACAGCCAGGGTACCCTTTAACCTTCCACCGTGGGACCACTAGACCTACATTCATCCTCTTATAAAGGGCAGTTTCCATGTCTAAAAAAAAAAAAAAAAAATGGCATTGGGCAATAAGAACAGAACATGCCAGAAGCCAAGTCGTCCAGCTTCTGCCCTGTGTACTCAAGCCTGCTATGTCTCCTGGTTGCTTCTGAACATCTACAATGGTATCTTGAGAATTGTGTTACTCTCAGTTGCCCTTGGGGCATTAAGTTTATAAATTGTCTGGGGGAAAATAAAACACCCTGGCACCAACCTGAGACCCCACAAAATGTCGACGAGGACTCCTGGAGACCACAATAATAATAATAGATAATAGATAATATTTATAGATAATAGATGATATTTATTGAGCTTTCTTTGTTCCAGGTTCGAAGACCATCAATATGTACCAATTTGTTTGATCTTCAGAAAAATCTCATGAAATAGTTATCATTCCTGTTTCCAGAAACGAGGCCCAGAGAGACTGACGTCATTCAGCAAAATGCACAAGGACTCAAGCCCAGAAAACCGATTCCAGAGACTTGATCATTAACTCCTTAAATTCATATATACCTTACAATCTACAGAGCCCTCTAGAAGATACAGAAATATTATCTGATCCTCTCAACAATGCTTAGAAGTAGGTCAGGAACATCTTTGTCTCCACGGTACACATAGGGAAACTGAGGCTCGGAGATATTAAATTACTGGTACAGAAAATCAGTAACACTAGTGCCAGCCAAGTCAGGGGCTGAAATCTACAACTCCTCACTCCTACAATGCTGCACCACCTCTGACTTCTGCTTTAGCAGCCTTGTTGGTGAGGATTAAATTACATTTACACAATCAGATATGCAGAGGGATGACAGCTGCATCTACGGTTTATTGGGTTTGGCATGAAGATCCCGATACCTGAAAACTGGTCGTTATCTCTAGGCTGAAATATGATTTCATACAGCCCCAATGTCAGGAAGTATCCGTGGGAAGAGAACAGGAGGGGGAGAAGCTGACCAAGTGAGCACTATCTAATAGCTGGCTCCAGAATTCACCCTTTCTTGGAGCCTGTCGCCCGTCAAAGTGGCCCTGCTGCGGCAGGAGCCTGAGAGAGTGACCAAAGGCAACGCCGGGATGCAAAGGCTGAGGGGAGAGAAACCCCAGTTCGAACCCAAGACCGAAGCCCTTTATTGTGTCTTTTCTGGTTAACGCCCCTCCTGCCTCCCTGCCCTCTCTTCCCCACCCCGCCCATGCTGTGCCCACGGTGCCAAACGTTGTAAGTCAACCCCGCGGCTGCTGCTCCTACCTTTCTGTCTCATTTCTCAATTACCCCAGGAACAAATCAATAATTTTGGGTCGTCTGCTGGTTTCTAGTAGCCAGGGCATTGCAGCTCTGTCTCATATTACCCACTAACTCATCATCCTTCCATTACACAATTCACACCGAACCACATTTGCTTCCGATCCGCAGTGACACCCCCCCCCCTGTTTTTAACTGCAGTCCAATAATGCTGACATGGTTAGGAATCGGAAGTAATGGCTATTCTCAGCCAACTCCCTGAGAATCGGAAGCTTGGGGCAGGGATGGGGAACCCTAGGACGTGCTTCCCTCCTTAGCAGCAGCGTCCCCTCCGGAGGCCCTGCTGGCCAAGAGGCAGCCGCACAAAACCACTCATCCCGGGGCTCCTGCCCCTTGGCTCCAGCCCCTGCGACCGCTGCTATAGAAACACCAGGCGTACACACTGGGCTGAAATTAAACACCCATCCGGGACTGGGACCCGAGCCCGCATCTGCCTGCTGCCGCGGTCGCCATGGCAACATGCCGAGAGGAGGGACAGCGAGCCGCGCGCGGGGATACTCACTCCATCGCGGGGCTCCGGGCGGCCGGGCGCGCTGCTGCGGGGCTCACCGGCGCTGCTCGCCTCTGCCGGAGCCGGGCGCTCTGGCCGCGCCGCGCGCGAGGTGGAGCCGCAAGCTTCTCCCCTCCCCGCCCGCACCCCCTCCCCCCCTTGAGGGTTGAAAGTGAACGCTCCGGCTCTCTCAGCTCCCAGCCTGCGAATAAAACGGGAAGCAATTGGATAATGTTGTTCGCTGGGCGCTAGACAAGCCACTCCACTTAAATGTTTCGGGAGAGAGCTCTCTGGCAGCTGCGCGCCGGGCGGTGTGGCCACCAGCGCGCAGTGCTGGGGCGCCCGAGGCGCCAGGTGCGCCCGCGGTTCCCCTGGGACGGGCGGCGCTGCACGGAGATGCCGGGGACGAGTGGGAGGGCAGAGGGGCGGCTGCGGCGGTGACACAGCCCAGAGGGTTCGAGGAAACGATTGAGTCATCGACAAGGTTGCAGCTCTTGCAGATCTGAAGTTGCAAAAGAAAGAAGCGTCTAGCAAATAACAAGTCCTGCCCCCAGTGGGTCGGGCATGGGTTCGGAAACGCCATTGTGCCAGCCCAGCGGGCAAACGTCTGAGTTTCCCAAGGAAAACTCCAGCTGCATTGCGGCGCCTCAATGCGGTGTTTGAACCCTTTGGCGACCCCACGCCCTTCTTACCCCTCCATATTCTGCGTATTCCTGCCCACTAGAAAGATATTGTCCAGTGTCACTTTCCTTAGCGCCTTCTTTGAAAACAATAGATACATTGAACGTGGTTTCCCAAATCACCACAGCCCCACCCCAGAGTTATAAGCCTCCCCCGGGCATATATGCCCTCCCTGTAACCCCTCAGAGAATTGCCTACTCCTAATGGTTTCCCAGGTGGGGACCTGGCTCCCACTCAGGTGCCCTGCACCTGCTGCAATAAAGAATGGATGGGACAAGCTTTAGGCTTTCATTGTGTGGTTCTGCCCGGTCTCTCTGCCAGTCCGTGTCTGCCAGGTGCTGAGGATGCAGCCCTATCCATAGTCATCACAGTCCCTGCCCTAGTGGAGCTCCCCCGGTAAAGCAGAAAGACAAAGCACAGAGAGAGAGAAGTCAACATCAACAGAGATCAAAAATATTGCTATAAAAATAAGTAATAAGACATCAAGATGAATGTTTTAAAATTAAGTTATGATGATGATTGCACAAATTTGTGAGTATACTAAAAAGCACTGAATTGTACATTCTGGCTGAATTTTATGGCATATGAATTATACCTTAATAATGCAGTTTTGTAATACATACACACACACACACACACACACACACACACACACACACACACACACTCCAATGGAGAGTAAGAGAGAAGTAGACCCGCTAAGTTAAGGCCTCAGGAAAGGAGCCCTGAAGAGACTGGCCCAAAAGGGGAGGGGGCTCCAAAATGCAGCCCCATCTATAACCCTTAGATGTGATAAGCTCTACACAAGCAAGGGGCTGGAAGGAGACGGGTACAAAATGTTCAGAGGGGAATGCATTGCTTCTCCTTTCCTTCTGGAAAGTGAGCCACAAAGTCAAACCCAGTGACAATTCACAGGGCTTTTGGTGGAAAGAGATTCTGGGTCATTTACAGGTTTCCATTCACAGAGAATCGAGTATGAATTTGAAGATCACAAAACCCTCCCTCAACCTATGTCCCTCTCCAGGTACCATCCCACCCACCTTTTACTGGTCCCCTTCATAGCCAAGCTTCTTGAAAGCATTGCCTGCACTCACCACCTCTCCATCCTCAGATTTGTTCCCAGTAGCTTATAGGATTAAGCTCAATCAGGAAAGAGATTCGTTTGACGTATCTTAAAAGTACAGAGATGAGTAGTCCTGGACCAGGTTAGCATCTCTCAAAGAGCTAAGAGACCCAGGCTTCTCCAAAATGTTCTCGTCATTTGTGGTCTCCCTTTCTGAAGTCATTTCATGGTCCAAGTTGGCTGCTCCAATGCCAGCCATCACGTCTGCATTTCAACCAGCACAAAGGTAGAAGGAGCAAAGAAGAAAGGGCAATGGAAGCATGCCAGCTACCTCTTCTGGAAGGCTCCCAGAAGCTGCCTCAGGACGTTTTCACTTACATCTCTTTGGCCAGCATTCAGTCACATGGCCACATTCAGTTTCCAGGGAGACTGGGCAAAACAGTCTTCATTCTGCATAGTCATGAGTCTAAATTCAGGGCTCCATTCCCACAAAAGAAGAAGAAAATGGGTATTGGGGGACAACCATCAGTCTTTTCTTACTCCTCAACCCTTAACAATCTAGCTTCTGCCTCCCCCGTGCCACTGACACTGCCCCCCATAAAGTCACCGATGCCGAACACAACGGGCATGTCTCAGGCGTCTTCTTGTAGGATTTGTGAGCAGCGTCTGACATTTTGACAACTCCCTTTTGTATTTGTGTTTTGCTTTAGGTTGGTTTTATTGACACATGATTTATATAATGTAGAACTCATCCTTTTTGGGTACATGTCTAGCAGTTTGGGTACCTCATATGCTCAGGTGACCTCCACCATAATCAAGATAAGCAACATTACCATCACCCCCAAACAGTTCCTCTGAGTCCCTCGATGGTAAATCCCCTTCTCCCACCTCCAGCTCCTGGCAACCACTGACCTGATTTCTGTCTCCATGGTTTTGCTTTCCAGACTGTCATATAAACAGTCTGTAGACTTTTGTACTTGGCTTCTTTCACTTAGCAAATTCTTCTGAGAGTCACCAATGCTGTGTGTAGAGGCAGTTCCTTTTCATCATTGAGTACATTGTACAGATAGATGTACAATTTATTTGTTCATTCACCGTTGATGGATATTTAGATTGCTTCCTGTTTGTGGCAATTACTAATAAACTTCTATAAACATTGAAGTACAGGGCTTTGTATGAACATATGTTTTCACTTCTTTTGGGTAAATGCCTACAGTCACTTCTTCCATCTTGAAATAGTGTCCAATCTATGATGCTACACTGCCACAGCTCTAGCTACCCTTTCTCTCGTACTTGTCTTTTAAATGTTACGTTTCTTCAGGGTCTGGTCTAAACTCTCTTCCCTTCTGACCATACATACCCTCCCTGAGCAATTTTATCTACTTCCAAGGCTTTCCTTAGCCATTTTTATGGTGCTCACTTCTGAAACTGAATCTCCAGCCCATCCATCACTCTTCTAAACTTCAAAACAGAATATCCAAAGGCCATTTTAACATCTTCACAAACACCACAAACCCAATATGTCCAAAAAGCACTTAGCATTTTCACCTGTAAATCTCCTCCTGATAACCTGTCTGCCTGTCCTAAAAACAGGGAAGGAGATGTCCCACAGAAATCTGGGCACCTTGTTTGATTCCTCACCATCCTGACCTCCCACATCTAGTCATCAAGACTTATCTAGGCTACCTCCTAGAGAGTCACAGAGCCCACTCACTTCTGTCCATCCTTACTGCTGCTGCTAAAACAGCCTCCCTTCTGGCCTTCTTGCCTCTAGTCACATCTGAATGAGTTCCAACTCATTCAACTGTACTGTGTCTTCCAAAGACACAAGATCTAATTATATCATCTCCTTGCCTAATACCTTTCAATGGGCATCTCTTACCTTTAAGATAAAGGTTAGATTGCATTGCAGGTGCGCCCTAAGTTTTTTGAAGTTAGTACATTGACTATTATAATATTCAAATTCAGTAGAAAAATAAGAATTAACTCTTATCTTGTAGGGCTGGCTTATACCTTATTAAGAGTCACAAATCACAAATACATCATCTGCTACATTTAACTATAGGAAAAAAATAACAGACTTTAGAGCCAAACAGATTTGGGTTAAAATTCCAGGTTGGTCATTTATTAGCTTTGTGATTGGGACATATTTCTTAACCTAATTCATAGGTTTCTTCATGTAAAAATGAGGACAATAATGTCTATCTTTAAAGGTTGATTTGAAAATTAGATACATTTTGTACAAAATGACTAACACAGTGCCCGGTACTTAGCAGATACTCAATTAACAGTAGTTATAACAAGCTATTTCATAACTATTATTGCCACCATATCATTATTATTACATTGTAACTTTCCTCTGAAATCTCCAACATTGTAACAGCTATATCTTTATCTTCACAGCATCCCTTTGAAGAAGTGAAACCGATACAGATATAGACACTATGAAGATCAGCTTGTTTATTCTCTTTGATGAAATAAGAATGTTAGACTAGATGATATACTAATTATTCATTGAAATGATATAGATATATCGATAATATAACATAGTAAAGTAGCATACTAAGTAGCAGGATATGGCTATGTGTATTTATCGATACATATTCTCTAATAGCTTATTCATTTAAGTTGAGCTCAGTAGATACTATTAGTACTCCAAATACACATTAACACTTCTCTATATTGGAAGTCAATAAGTTAAACAACTGTACCCACCCGAAATTTAGTCTAGAACCAGGAAATAAAAGTGATATCATAAAGTGCAGGCTATAAGCAATTATTCTTAATCTCCTTAGGGTCATAAACTCCATAGATGAAAACTATGGACACTTATGCCAAGAAAAACATACAGGGGCAAAAACCCACATTGTTCTTATAATATCAGTAGGAGCACAGATCCTCTGAAGCCCACCCATTGTCCATGGACTTCTGGCTAAGTTGTACTTGTCTGGAGTTTGCATCTTGCTTGCATGTACGTTGTTTTATTTTTATCCTGCAATTGTCTTCTAGGACAGTTATTATTACTGTCATTTTGTAGATGAAGAAACTGAAGCTTAGAGTAGTTAAATACTTACTCAGGCTATATGTCAACAAGAGTCAAGTTTGTAAACAAAACCAAAGTCTTCAACCTCCTGGTCTAAAAGGAGAATAAGCTAGCTTTGAGAGAAAATGTGACATAATTTCTATATAGGCATAATGCATAAACTTTAGAACTGTTTAAACTAAGGACCATGGATGGGCTTTGGGGACCTGCCTCAGACCACACACAGAATCCAGTCTGGAGTGGTGTATGAAGTATAGAGAGAGAATAGGCCTGTGCCTTTCACTGTGTTAC